GCCAACGCCGGAGCCTCGGGGTCCGGACTCGCCTTCAGCGTCCACGAGGAAGCAGAAAAGTGACCACTTACCTGGGCGGGGGAGAGGGAGGGGGCTGGGGTGGGGGTGGGGGCGAGGCCCGGTCCGGCTCTGGTGCGGGCAGCCGCCGCGCGCCTACCTTGGTCCCGCAGGAACGTCCGGTAGCGGACAGGGGGGCTGTAGGGGCCGGGGCCCCGGCGTGTGTGGGCTCGCACTTGGAGGTCGTAGGCCGTGTCGGGCTTGAGGCCCCAGAGCGTGAGAGCGTTCTCCGCGCCCGGCTCGGCCGCTGCGGGCAGCTCGGTCTCTCGGGGGAAGTCCGCCGCGCCGGCCTCCCGCACGGCTACCGTGTACTTGACGATGGCCCCGTTGCGCTCGGCGGGCACGGGCGCCAGCCAGCGGAGCAGGACGGTGCCGGCCGACGCGTTGCCGGCCGCCTCCAGGATCTGGGGGGGCCCGCAGGGCGTGTCCTCGGGGATGCTCAGCACCTGGGCCGCCTCTTCACCCAGGCCTCCGCGGCTGCGGGCCGCCAGCCGGAAGACGTACGTGGCGCCCTTGTGCACGCCCGGCGCCGTGTAGTGGTCTTCGGAGGCCGGGAAGTCCAGCGTGGCCAGGGGTGTCGAGTCCTCGCGGCCGAACTGCAGGCGGTAGCCCAGCACCTGGTCCTCGGCGGTGCCGGCCGGCGGCTTCCAGTGTGCCAGCAGGCTGCCCTCAGGGGTCTGCTGCACCGACAGGGTGGGGCGGCCCAGCACTGTGGGGATATGGGGAGGGAGGGCGGCAGTCAGGCCACAGGGCCACCACCAGGCCAGGAGCAAGGGTGGACCACAGTTCTGAGCTTGGTCCTCCCCTGTCAAACTCCCACCCCCACCAAGGAATGCCTCATGGGGGAGCTGACAGTTCAGTAAAGACTTGGAGTGGGTGGGAACAGGAATCAGGGAACATCGCCGGGAAGAGCATGTGCAAAGGCCCTGAGGTGAGGCTGGGTGCCAAGGAGATGCAGGAACAGTTACAGACACAGGGAACAGCACGTGCCCAGGCCCTGAGGTATGACTGTGCTTGGGGATGGAGCTCAGTGAGGGGACCACTGACTCAGAATGCCACCAAGATCAGCTGGGCACTGCCCTGGGCCCTCCTACGTTGGCCACCCTGTCGGACGAGTGGCTCACTGGGCTCCTCCCCTGTTTCTTCTGCCCCTCCTGGTATTCACTGCTGGCTAATCCTGTGGGACACAGGTCTGGGCAGGGCCCTGCCCCAGACCCGTGGTTCTCGCAGCCTGGGGGAGTAGGCAACAGGCCAAGAAAGGCTGTGGGGCCAGGAGGGGTGAAGCCAAGCCAAGCCAGGTCCCTGGGTGAGGCCTGGACCTTTTTTGGGCAGGGTCATGCCCTCAGTGGGCTCTGTATGGCTCTGACACGGCCCCTGGGCGAGGAGGGAGCCGGAGGCATCTCTGGGGTGGTTCCCTACCTGCTCCCTTGGTCAGGACCACCTTGGGTTTGCTTCGAGCTCCATCGCCCTTCATGGTGTAGGCGGCTACCGTGATGGAGTAGGCGGTCTCAGGCTGTAGGTTTGTGATGACCATCTCCTGCAGGCAGGGCGGGGGTGGAGGTTTCAGTGCCTGGTGGGCAGGGCCAGCCCACCCCAGCCCCACACCGGGCGCGTATGCAGATGTTCGTGCACACAGACTCATGCTCAGAGCACGCCGCCTCGCCTACCCATGCCCCAGTGGATACACTCAGCCAAGCCTCACACGTCCATCGCTGCAGCCTGGACCCTGACTCCCCACCTGCTGCTCCCACAGGCTGTTCCCCTCCAAGCAGCCAGAGGGTGAGCACCTGAGTCAATCTCGTCCTTCTGCCCAGAGCTCTTTGGGGCCCCCACCTCCCTCCTTCCCTCCCTTCCACTCAAGGGACCCGCTATAGGGTCATGTGTGCCCTGCCTTCTCCTGCTCCTTTCTCATCCTCACTCAGTCACACTACTTCAGCCACACAGGCCTTTGCACGGGTCATGACCTCTGCCTCTTTACACACTGCTGTGCCAGAAATGCTGTGTGCCAGCTTGCAAGAGCCAAATGCTAAGCATCCCAGCATTTTAAAACCTGGTTATGGAACACAGCCATTATTAAAAACAAAACATTAATAAAGCAAAAGCCCAGGCTCAACTGCCATTGAGTTCATTCTGACTCACGGGGGCTGTATAGGACAGGGTTGAACTGCCCCTTGTGGGTGTCCGAGGCTCTAACTCTATAGGAGTAGAAAGCCTCATCTTTCTCCCACAGAGCGGCTGGTGGTTTCGAACTGGTGACCTTGAGGTTCGGAGCCCAATGCAAAACTACTATGCCGCTAGGGCTCAAATGAAGGCTCTAAACAGCAAAGGTCATGAGTGAGCACTCAAAACCTAACAAAGCCAAAACCACTACCCACCCCCACCCGGTTGCTGTCGAGTTTATCCCGACTCCTGGTGCGGCTCCATCGGATCTCAAGGCTGTGACCTTGTGCAAGCAGATCACCAGGGCTTTCTTCCGAGGCCCCTCCTAGTGGGTGAGACTCCAGAACCCTCTGGCTTCAAAATCATGCACTTGACTGCTTGTGCCACCCAGGGGCTCCTCCGCCAACGATCCCTTCCTCAGTATCCTCCCAGTTTCTCACTGGGTGCTCCCGGGGCTGGCTGTGGCTACA